ATTTTTAAGGAGAAACAAAGCTTTTAACCTTTGATGAGGTTTCACTGAGTTCCCCTAGATGGCACTCTGTAAGGATACAATTAAAACCACTGCAATAATCTTCTTCCGCCTCAACTTTATGCATTTTGGTAACCAATTACTCCAAACTCGTTGTAAAATGAGGATGAAAATACAATTCAGCAGCGATAAGAGATAAAGAAAAGGGGTAAAAAAATAGTATTCGCAGTCCCTTGGAAACCAAATGGGGTTGGAAAGTTCTGCTTCTAAGGTCATCATCACATGACCCTCAATCACTCCTTTCTCTTTTTGATCTTTGTTTATTTACAGATGGTCCCTTCCGAACAGTGTCTTGCCGCTGGCATAACCACAACATGTATTGCTGAGCTATGTTTTTGTTGCAGCAATCTCACAAGCCGGAAGGAAAGCAACGCACTAACAGAAGTTTCCTGCCACTATTATGAGTCTTTGGAAAGATAATGTTAACAGAGAGGGATGCTTGATTTCTTGTTTCTGACACTCCACCAGCTACAGGAGGATTTTTTTCCCTCAGTGGTGAGGGTGCTCGATTTCTGTGAATCCACCCTTCTTCATTTTTCTCTCATCCTCTGAATGCCTAGCTTGCAAGTGACATGCCAGACTAGCATACTTCCAGCCTAAAGAATTAAAAGAGGATACGTTATTTTTCTGTTCAGCCTGAATTTTGAGCATAATCTAGAGGGCTATGTGTGGGACTGCAAATGCATCCTCCTGGGGCCCAAGGACATACCCCGAGCACACTGGCTGTTGGGGGACAGGTGAGTTGCAGAGGTGAGGTGCTAGCACAGCACACTCAAAACCCTACTGCCTCCAAAACTCTTGCTCAGAAAAGTGTATTCTACAAAATCCCTTCATAGCTTATAAAATGCAGCTCACTCATGATTAAAGGCATATAGCCAGATGCAGGATGTAACATTTCTAGGTTTGTTTTCATTAGTACATTCTGTAAAAACAAAACTGAATTATTATGTGCAGTGGCTGCTCTATCCTTTATTCAATATAGGACACAGCAAAAGAGAAGAAAGGGAAGGAAACAGAGCCTGCCATTTCTAGGAAAAATCTAAACAAATCCTAATTTGCAAATAACTTTCAACAATGGCATGCTATGAACTAAAAAGAAACACAACAGAACCGAAAAAAACAACATAAAATCATAGAATCATCAAGGTTGGAAGAGACCTTTAAGATCATCAAGTCCAGCCATCAACCCAGCACTGTCATTGTAACCCCTCAGCCACTAAACCTCATCACCCAGCGCCAGATCCAGACACCTCTTAAACACCTCCAGGGATGGTGACTCTACCAGCTCCCTGGGCAACGTATTCCAATGCTTGACCACTCTAACAGGGAAAAAAAAATTCTAATATCTAATCTGAATTTGCAGTGTCTGAGTTAAGGCCATTTTCTCTGGTCCTCTCACTGCAGGCACGGTAGAAGAGACCAGTTGCCACGTGGCTACAACCTCCTTTCAGGTAGTTTTAGTGTGCAATGAGGTCCCTCCTGAGCCTTCTCAAGACTGAACAAACCCAGCCATTCTTCATAAGAAGTGTTCTCTAATCCTTTAATGAGCCTTGCTGCCCTTCACTGGACACAGTCCAGCACCTCAATGCCTTTTTTTAAAGTGAGGGGCCCAAAACTGAATGCAGTACTTGAGGTACAGTCTCACCAATGCCAAGTACAGGGAGGTGATCACCTCATTTGTCCTGCTGGCTACACCATTCTTGACAGAAATGACAATTTGTATCAGTAACAAGTATTTGCCATCATCCTGAAAATAAAGGTGTTAGGAGAATCCCATTATGAAAGGGGTGAAAGGTGTAAGAAAGATAGATCTTTTTGAGGGCACCGTCAACACAGTTTTACCAAAACCAGAAAAAAAAAAAAAAAAAGAAAGCTGTCCTGAGGCCTGGGCAGACTCTCTGGCAGTCCAGAAAGTTGACCCATGTGTCTAAGACTGGGTTCATGATGGCAAGGTGCCTCACTCCTGGCCCTCGGACCAGAAATCCTCATTGCCCAGAGGACTGTAAGCTATTCTGGGCTATTCTGGGATGGATTTTTCATAGTTGTTTGCATCCAACACGGACAAGTATTTCTAATTTCTCAAAGCATTGCTGAGTATCTTCTAAACACTTTTCCACTTGCAGGTCCTGACACTGGGAACCACTAGGAATCATCAAAGGCTTTTGTCAAAATGGGAAAGGAAGACAACAAAAGACAATAGGGTTAAAGTTACACATAGTTACAGAAGCAAGGCCCTTTTAAAGTCAAAGAAATGGAAAAAAATCCCACAGAAACAGTACTGTAATTCTATAATCCATCCCAGATATAAAGGTTTGCCCTCACCTGTCTGAATCAATAAACAGGCTCTCAAGATCAAGCAGCTGAAAGTAAAGACTTGTGGAGTGATATATTTAAAGAATTGAACTATGCTTAAATAATGGATGTTTCAGCTGGTGTATTGCACTTGATCAGAATATTTTTCCTTTTTATCACTTGCAGAAAACCTGCTGCTGTCTCTTGAGAGGCAAATAATTTAAACTGTGTCTAGGAGAGCTGTGATCTAAGATAAACAGCTATCATCAGAGTGATAGAGCCTGAGACAGCATGACACATATGAGTCAGGGAGCTTCATGATCACAGCCTGATTATTAGTTTGGAGATTCATTCTATCTGTGCTAGCCTAAGAACAAATATCTATAAATATGAGGTAGAAAGGGTGCAATTTTTTCTTCATATAATACCTGTTTTATGCTATATTGGAGCCAACTGAGTCACTGAAGTATCAATGAACTGTTACAGTGCTTTTTAAAAAAACTATTTCCATGGAATCTGAAATAATGTATGCCTGTAAGTATTTTATCATCAAAATTTGTAAGTGAATATTAACACCCTGCATCTTACAAATTGCAGCCGAAAACGAACAGCTAATGTTAGGTGCTCTCAAAAAATCAGACTGCAGAGGATTCAGGCTGGACTTTCCAAAATAGTGGGAAGATTTTCCCTGAGTTCTTCTACATCTCAGTTGCTTCTTGGTCAAATGGGAAGGACACCACCTCCCTCTCCCATAAGAACAATGTGATGGTGAATTCATTCAGTCTCCTGAAGCACCTGTGGCATGGAACACAGAAGGAATCATGGAGAACAGGTATGTCATACAAGCTGGGCTGGGATAGTTACTAGTGAACAAGGCAAGAGGCATCCCATGGAACAGCACCATGACAAAGAAGAAAATACCTGCTTGGGAAATAACCCCTTCCCCCCAGACACCGAGTCACATACCAGGACCAGTGGGGAAAAAATCCAATCTTTTTAAGACTTACATCACACTACACATTCACAAATGGTCCAAGACAGCATTTAACAGCTGCAAAAATCTGCATCCCCAATATATCTTTACTTTTGAGACAGTGATTTTGTAACCTTGCAATATTACCATTAACAATTTGATCAACATTACTAAAAACCTCTGTTCACACAGCCATGACAAAGCAAAACCTGGGGTCTTCTTAAACTACAAAAAGTAGCCTGATTAAAACTAACTTTTCAGCTGTGTTTATCCTGTAAGTCCAAAAATATGCATTTTCCCCTGTTAGAAAGATGCTCACAGCTTTGCACTGAAGAAGCTGTGCACTGTGTTGTGCAGCTCTATCAGTATTAACATAAGTTTATGAAGAATTTGAATACTTCTGAAGAAAATTCCATAGAACACACTGAAAACTTATTTAGCCAGTTCCCAGCCCTTGTAATGTGCTTTCCCACAGTGAGTAACTTAGGGTCCCTCTTCTGTCTTGTATCAAGTACCAATGGAAATTATATTTTACAAAGGAGAAGAAGAACCACAACTGCGAGTGGCGCTACAACAGGAGACATCTGTTCTATATAGCTCTGTCCTGTTATTTGTGACATTAGAGATCCTGAACTGCCTTCATCTTGTTTTCATTGACAAGGGCTGCAGTACTAAAAGCACACAAACCACACCATTTCTTGTATTTCTTTTGCTGACCAATGGTATGCAAAGGAGTATCCTGATTAGATATTCTTAAAAATGGCTCCATTGAAATGTAGGGTGAGAAATATTAATGCAGAGAACTTAGCATAAGGTTCAGTGCTGCCCGTGCAGTTCTCCCAATGAGTTCCAATGAGCTTCAGAGAGAATAAGTCACTTTGAGGTGCCACAGATGCCAACGTTTAAAGTACAAACATAAAATAAGCTTTGCCTACAGGGAAATGCAGGCAAGTTCCTAACTCTATGTAGAATTTGCAGATTTTTTTTTCTCTAGCTAGAAAGGCTTCAGTTGCCTTTCGAAGAGGTGTGAGTATAAGGTAACACCCTTTCTTCATGAAGTCACTTGATCTACAGAGAGCTCAAGTTCAAATGTTCTCCTCAAGGCACTTAATACCCCAGGAGTGCATCATGGCCAGTACGATATGCTCCTGCGAGGTTCTCTCAAACTTTTTTGCTAAAGCTTATTTAATTTTTTTCTGGATAAGATGAAGAAACAGAGCTAGAGTGATGCAGAAGCCTGCACACTGCATCTGCAGGAGGCATGCTCTCTTTTCTGAAGACAAGGAACTTTAATCATTTCATATGAAGTAAAAAACTCACCAAACTTCAAAAGAAAGCAATGAGAGTGTTACTATGAAAGGATAGCCTCCTGCATACTGATGACAGTTTTGCAATGCAGGTTATAAATGCTGGTTCAGCTTCCTTTGGTCTTCTTAAAACTGCATCATATGAAAAGTTAGAGAAGGGATCAATAATCAGTGTTCTTTTCTTCTCAGGTTTCCAGCATATAACAAATGCTTCATTTATGGTGGAAAGCATATTTCCTTTCTTTTTCCTTTGGCCCACAGTCCTTTGCTTTCCAGGCATATGCTCAAAGGCCAGGACTGCTCTTCTACTTCAGTTCCTGGATCTGTCTCTGATTTCATCAAACATCTGCAGATTTTCTGTGCTTCAGTTTCTCCATGTAAAACACTGTCTTGAGATATCAGTAGCTGCAAAGTAAGAAGAACAGGGTGAGGATACAGGAAATTTGGAGAGTTGACAGAGTTGTATTTCTGGAAATTTTATTTCAAAGTATTATTAAAAAACTTGTCAGTCTTGCAACTTATTAGTAGCCCAATGGCATACTCTGAAAAAGGGAGGTATTTTACATATGGAATACAAACTGTAAGGCCAGGGGGGAAGTATCATAGTGTATTCCTAACAAAGAAGGAAAGGAGAAAGAAAACAATGCTGCTATGACACTTAAGAGTATTAAGTTATATTGTTTGCACTGGCCTAGATATATTTTCTTCTTTCTGCTCTAACTAGAACTATTTTTTAAAATGTGCCATTACTCCAGTCAAAAGTAGGTGGGGTTTGTAAGTCTGGAATAGCTAATTTTAGAAGAACTGTGAGTCTTTTGCATGAAGCCAGTTACGGTTTGGAAAGCAGAGGCTGAATTACAGAGGAAGTGATTTTTCTGCTGTTTTTGGTTTGTTTTGTTTTGGGTTTTGTTTTTTGTTTGGTTTTGTGGGGGTTTTTTTTTTGGTGGTTGGTTGGTTGGGTTGGGTTGGGTTGGTTTGGGGGGGTATTTAATCTCCAATGCATAAAGCTGGATCAGAGCAACTACCACTCAAAAATGTCCCTGAAAAGATGAACAGGACTGTATACACTCTTTTGCATGCTGATGTCAGCTTCCTCTGCTAAGTTTCTACTTTGCAACTTCATCACAAAATTTCACACTGGGTTAAATTTTGGCATGATTCAGAAAAAGATGAGCCAGGAATTAATGAAAACAAAGATTCAACAACATAACAGGAAACTAATACTTCTGCTGCTTGAAAAACTGGGATGGGGAAAAAGGAAAAAGGGAAATGCTACCAGAAAAAGACATTTGCTGTTCTTCATTTCTTCATAGATCTATTTCTTATAACTGCAGTTCTCCAAAGAGATCTTTTAATCACTCTTTATTGTTATTAATGAGACCAGTTGCTTCTGTTATTTCCTTACAGTCTAGTTATCAAAAAACTTGTGAAGTTGTGGAATATCAACTGCTACCTGGAACCAAGTTTTGCTTATAAGCAGGTTAAATGATAATGCCAAATTCAAAGGCTGAATACAGAAGAATTTGTATATTTGTAAGTTGAGCCCATCCATAATAAATGTTAGTAGAGCAGATCTTTTGTCTCCCCAGCCAACAGAGGTACCTTTCTTAAGCTTAGTCTTGCTGCATCTCTGCTACAGCTGGATAATATTTAAAAAAAAAAAAATCTCTTATAAAAAAATTCCAACAATGCTTTCCTTGGGAATATGCATCCATTACACTGATTACACAGCACTCTTACTGTGTGTCCTTTTGCTCTTTACTTGTTCTCCAAGGAGTTAGGATTAGTGTTAACATGACATCTCACCTAGCTTGGTAGCTGGTCCCTTATTACAGGTTCTACTCTGCATCTGAGATGAGACTGCATTAAACACTGGCTTTGTGATGTATGCTAGGAAAGCCCTAATTTTTGTATTTATGAAACAAAGAACAAATTATCTTGTCCTGGAGTTCTCTCATAACAAGATTTTGCTGTACAAAATTCTAACTTGTTTCCTCCCTCCATCACTCTTCCAAAGTCTTACCTAACAGGCCACTAAAGGGATTTGTTAATAGCTATTCCCTTCCCCTGACTTTCCCCTCATGGCTGTTGAGTGAAATAACTTTCTGTAAGAGAAAAGCAAATGAATCATGATTATTTTTCAATGCATCATATGAGCCATCAGTACTTATTGTGTAGGCCCTACAATCACCAGTGATGACAAATGCAAAGACAATGAAATCATCATCTAATTTTGAGGTCCATTTACCTGTTTAGCACAAAGAAAAATTACCTAGCTGTAAATGGAGGTGTTTTTCATTGTATACATAAGACAGGCAATTGTAGCTGAAGTACAACAGAGCCTCAGGAAGGATATAAGCAGAGGTTCTTTGTTCCCCCCAATGATGTTCTAACAGTTACGTGCATAGTAATACAAGGTCAGAAGTGAACATTTCTGCATATCCAGTGCTGAAGGAAGAGTGTGTGCACAACTAGTGGTTTTCATCAGTCTTAAATACTCAGACTCTGCCTGTTCAGGTTGTTACAAACTGGCCTGTACATGGTCAAGTTAGGTGACTTTCTACAATGGCTGGTTGCTTTTTTTTCCCCAGCAGAATGTCTCTGTTATGTCAACATTATTAAGAGTGTTTCCTGGTTAGAAATCTAACCTTGCCAGCACGATATAGTTGCTCAGCACCCACTGATGGATGCCCGTCCCGTCCCCAAGCAGTGATCAGCCCCTCTTGGCCAACTGCCCATTTTATATGCTGACATTATATAATAGGGAATATCCCTTTGGCCAGTTTGGGTCAGCTGTCCTGGCCATGCTCCCTCCTTGCTTCTTCTGCACCTGCACACTGGCAGAGTGGGGGAGACTGGAAAGTCCTTGACTTAGGCTAAGCACTACTGAGCAATGCCTAAAACATAAAAATCCAAAACACAGCACTGTAACAGCTACTAGGAAGAAAATTAATTTTATCAAAGCCAAAACGAGGACACCTGCACTTGTGACTTCAAGCATCTTGGCACCTTCAGAAACACTGGGAGGTTGTCTTTTAATTCCATAGTTTTACTGTAAAATTTGTCTATTAAAATTAAAAGGTGGGGTGGGGGGTTTTGTGTGTTTATTGATTATAATTTCTGATTTCCCTCTCCTCATTCAACTCTGACACAGCTGTGTCTTTTGGTCAATATCCACTTTCTAGTAGCTAATTATCTTTTACCTGTTAAGTTCAGATTTTACCGATTGTTTTAATATGATCATTTTCAAGAAAGAAAAAAGAATGCAAACAGTTCAACAAATATTTATAACACGAAACCAAACACTCCAAAACCAAATCCAAATTAATCTCAGCAATCCTGATCACCATGAAATGCTTGGTGGCCATTATTCTCATTTTCATCTGGACTATGCACCTCTGCCCCTTGCACTTTTAGTCAGCCTAGAAGCCTCTTGATGTTATGTAGTTCTACAGTACAGATATGGGTGGGAGGGCTGCAAGTAGCAGTTCAAGAAGAACACTCAGTGGTGTAGTAGTCCTGTAACAGAGCTACAGAGAAAATATTAATATTTGCAGTTCTCCCACTCATACCTCTCTCTTGTCAGTACTGCAAAGTTATGCATTACAGCAGTGTGAATCTGCAGGGGTTCTTTTCAAAAAAACTGAAATCAGAAGAAAATACACAGAAAATTAGGTTGTAAGAGAGGAAGCTTCTAGAAGAAGATAACATTCCTCTAAACAAAGCCCAAGGTAACATGACCTGTATCTGCAAATAAATAGGACTAGGAAATAACCTACTAGAAGTAAACTCATTCTTGGTGAAAAGCCTCCTCTAGGTCATCTTGTAAAGTCAAATCAGGTTTACTTGAATATCACATAAAAAGCCATTTTCAAAGTCAATACCATCTTCTTGAATAGGACCTTCTAGGAGCCTTGATTGATGCCTATAGACATTTGGCAATACAATGTGAATTGAAGGAATTCATAGTGCCCATGGGAATTTTTAAAACCATGTCAGCTTCCTCAGAAATGACATAGTGTGCTTGTAGAAAAGTCAGAGGAACAAACCTCTAAATGAAATATCCCTACTGACTCCTGCAGTCAAAACCAATCCCAGCAGAGGATCTTTGAAAAAAAACCACCCACCCAACCAATGAATCTTCAGGCTCTACATGTTTATTTAATTCTAAGAAATTAACCCCTTTGGATCCTTTGTAAATCCTAGATGCATCATGCCTGTGACATTACTCACATGAGTAAAAAAAGTCTTCTGTCTCAAGGATCTTTATTGACTACTTCTATGAGTGATAACTGTAGGGATAGGTACAAATTCAGAAGAATTTGTGACAGAAAGCAAGGAACTCGATTTTCACTAGGAAGGCTTTCTGCTTAAATGGTAACTCTTTCTCAAAGGCAGTTTCAATGCTTTCTCCCCCCTCCCCGCATAGCAAGAGTTCTCAGCCTTGCTCTCTGACAGGAGAGTGATAGCCCTAAGAGACATGCACAGAGGCCTTGGGAAGGCGAGGGAGAAACAGAGAAGATAAAAGAGGCCCTGAAAGGGCAGGAGCTCACCTTTTTTCCCTGGAGGCCCGGTGCACCTCCATCATCAAGAAATGGTCCTTGCATCTGAAATAAACCTTTTTTTTTAATCCTTCCAGTGCCTTGGCATTATTGGGAAGAATACCTGTGTATGTTTTACCCTACATAACAGATGTTATTCTTAAAAAAACCCAAGCAACTTCAGGGTGTGGTACATTTAAACGAGGGGGGTAAAAATGACAGCTGTGACAAACAGGAGATGGGGATGAATCACTGAAAGTTATGTGATGGAAATGCAGATGGCATAAGAAAGAATTTGAAGCTTCCAGAAGAGGGAAGCAAAGAATACTTATCAACATTTTAAGATTCCAAAGTAATTCATCAACATTTCTCCCTCCTCTACTGTTTTTGAAGCAAAAGTTGAGTGGCCCACTCCTTAAAAAGTCATGATGGCTTCTTCCTAAAACAATTGCTGGTTTTCATCCCTGAGCTGAGCAAAGCTCGAGGAAATTCTTGGTCACAAGGACATTATCTTCCCAGTGCAGGTAGTTAATTCATAACAGGTACTCTGCTCAAGGGCTGGCTGTTGGTTCTACTCCATGCAACTTTGTGGGGAGTCTAGAACAGATGTGATATGCTGTTTGCATAACTCAAAAATCTCTGTGTATTTTTTTTGTTCTAAATTTCAGCTCTTGGAATCATGATTAAGAGCGGACCTCCAGGTTTCTGTCTGAATTACAATTCTTCCTTGTTATGGTTTCAGAGAAACAGCTGAAAACAGGAACCATGAATGCTAACTACAGAATCTGGTAAGACAAAATACATGCTTCTAAGCCACTACCATAGTTTTTTTGGTAATCCAATACTTATTTGAAGATCAGTATGACGCTTGTCCTGAGCAGCCTGCTGTGGCTAGTCTTGCTTCAGCGGGGGGTTGGACTAGATGATTTCAAGAGATGCCTTCCAAGCAGAATGATTCTGTGATTCTGTGTTTGCAATGTCAGACATTTCATTAAAATCGTAAAGGGGTTCATCTTACCAACAGTAAGGAGACCTGTTGTTTTCTGTTGCTGTGTGCTGATCATTTCCCAGGTGTTCCGCCCGACTATAAGCGCACACACACACCCCCACCCTCACATACAAATACACAAACAGATGGTCTTGCTCTTATCTAGTCTGTATGAATAATGACTTGGTTATGATAAAAAGCACAATTGGAATATCTTTTGAATACATGTGTCAGAATGATAACGTAAGCCAATATGAAGATGACATTTCATTGTTTTAAGGCAGTGACAAAGGTGAAAAGTATGAAGGTGCCAGTCTCATACTTCTCTCCAAAGCAGTTCATTATGCAGCTCTGATATGCCATATTTCCACCAAGGAGAGAATGAGATCTGAGAAATAAGCCTTCATATGCAGCCCACCATATCCCACTTCCACAGTGATCGTGCCTGACTGTGGATCTGTGACAGTCACGGTATTTCAGAAGGCTCTTAAGACACTGGTATACACTTTAACTCACCACTTCCCCAAGCAGCCACATGTCTTGAGTACATCACCTATAGAGTCTGAGCATTGTGAGCCTGAAACACAGTAAGAGATCAGTTGAATCAATAGCACTTTGTGCCCTATGGGAAAGATAAATCATAGAGTACAACTTGCATTTAAGGTAAGCAATCGTACCTTACCATTTTTAAAATATGTCTTTCATGGTGTCTATATAAGTTGTTGAAACCACTGGTTTCAGAGCTTTATCAAAAATGTAAACATGGTCTACCGTGTACCTCTAGTTTTAGGGCAACTCTTTCCAGCATTTTCTTTCTGCTATGAGCACTACAGGACTAAGGACAGTAGCCCACTTGCCTTTTAATTGTCAAATTTCATGTATTTTACCAGGAAGACTCGGATTTTTGGGTTTTGGTTTTTTGTTTTTGTTTTGTTGTGGGTTTTTTTAAGATAAAAGCATGGAGAATTGTTTTGAATGCAAATACCTTTATGAAGCACACATGAGATTATAATGTACTTATGGAGGACAGTAGAAATCTTATTCATACACAATTAAAAAAACAGTTTTCTTTCATTAAAAGCTGTTACAATATGTTCAATATACTGACTGCTCAGCAAAGAAATCCTGCAGGAGAGAAAACAATAGGTTCAATTACCAAAAACTTGGAGTTCAGAATCCACACCAAAAGCCAAGTGCCAACACAATATTTTTAGAGAATATAATACATTAATTGAAGTTATCACCCTCTTTTTATGGAAATCCTGGGCTATTATAAAACTTGTCCAGTAGGTAGGTGCTTCCTATTCATAAAACAGCTGAGTGCTGAGGGCACACTAATGAATCATTGCTCTGCCAGAACCACAAGCTTCAGGAATGAATGGCTTGCAGGGAGTTGGGGAGCAGTAGCCACATAGCTGTGCAGAACATTTTGCACTTGCTGATCATATTTAATGAATGTATTTTACCCCTTCTCTCATTCAAAACCAAGGACATTATTTCAAATTCTCACATTCCACTAAATAACACACAGAAGGAAAGGTCACAGTCTGAGACCAAATGTCAGCACCTGTCAGCATTTTCACTAGCAGTCCTCTTTATCTGAAAAGCTACTCAAACTGTTTCATAAAGCTACTTACATTAATAATTATGATTTCCTTGCTATGTAAACTTAAATGCTTATTGAAGTTGGCCATAAAAACCCCATATGTCTGTGGCTAAAGGAAACAGTCCTTAATTTATGGGATGAGTGTTTGCAAATGAATGTGTATCTGAGACATCAAGACTAACATTTTCCTCATGTATTACGCTTTGCATTGCAGTGCTTCAACATTGAAAGTAAACAAAACCCACTTAGCCGGTACCTCAGTAGCAAGTCTGTAGCTGGAAATGCTACTTCTATGAGCCTTCCAATAAACTTTTCATGTTTAGCATCTGGAACAGCATTAACTTCATCTGGCTCTTCCAAAAGAAATCCAGCAATGTGAATGCAGCGATGTCTTTGAAAACCATCATACATCAAAGGGTAGATTATTTTACTTGACATATTCAATGCATCTATATGGAAAGTTTTACACAAAAGCATCCTAGGGTGATGAGGGAGCTGGCGGAAGAGCTCATCGAGCCGCTCTCCATCATTTACCAATAGTCCTGGCTCACTGGAGAGGTCCCAGATGATTGGATGTTGGCAAATGTCATTCCGATACACAAAAAGGGCTGCAAGGAGGACCTGAGAAACTACAGGCCCATTAGCCTGACCTCAGTGCCTGGCAAGGTTATAGAGCAGATCATCCTAAGTGCAATCACACAACATTTACAGGATCAGACCCAGCCAGCATGGATTTAGGAAGGTCAGGTCCTGTCTGACCAACCTGATCTCATTTTATGATCAGGTGACCTGCCTGGTGGATGAGGGGAAGGCTGTGGATGTGGTTTATCTGGACTTCAGCAAAGCCTTTGACACTGTCTCCCATAGCATTCTCCTGAAAAACCTGGCAGACCAAGGCTTGGACAGGGGCACTCTCTCCTGGGTTAAGAACTGGCTGGATGGCCAGGTCCAGAGAGTGGTGGTGAATGGTGGAGAGCAGCCACGCAGAAAGGGACCTGGGAGTTTGGATTGACAGGAAGCTGAACAGGAGCCAGCAGTGTGCCCAGGTGGCCAAGAAGGCCAGGTGGGGGTTGGTCTCTTTTCCCAGGCAACCAGCAGTAGGACAAGAGGGCATGGTCTTAAGCTCTGCCAGGGGAAGTTTAGGTTGGATATTAGGAAGAAATGTTTTACAGAGAGAGTAATCAGACACTGGAATGCACTGGCCAGGGAGGTGGTGGTTCAGTGTCCCTGGAGGTTTTTAAGATGAGACTGGATGTGGCACTTAGTGCCATGGTCTAGTAACCACGGCGGTGTTGGATCAAGGGTTGGACTTGATGGTCTTGGAGGTCTTTTCCAACCTGGTTGATTCTATGATTCTATGATCTTCCTGATTTGCCACTCATCTAGCAGGAGTGTTCACATGTTATAATTTTACTGAAAAACAGAACAATTATTCTAGCTGTTGCTCTAAACTGCTTAAATGCTTTTTGTGTGTCCCTTTTCCTTCGGAAAACAAAGTAGCATAAATAAACAAGGACCACAACATTAAACAGAACAACAACATTTGTCTCTTGTTCTATCATATTAATCAAGTGTTAACAATGCATTTGTAGTATTGTAGTAAATATTTATGGAATGCTTTCTCTGGTGTCCTGGGAACACATTGTTATTGCTGATAAAAGTCAAGATGCCATTGCCCTTCTTGTTCACCTGAGTACACTGCTAGCTCATATCCAGCTGGCTGTCAACAAAGATACCCAGGTCCTTTTCCACCAGGCTGCTTTCCAGCCACTCTTCCCAGCCTGTAGCACTGCATGGGATTGTTGTGACTCAAGGACAGGACCCATTACTTTGCCTTGTTGAACATCAAAACACTGGCCTTGACACATCTATCCAGCCTGTCCAGTTTCCTCTGCAGAGCCTTCCTGCCCTCCAATATATCAACACTCCCACCCAGCTTGGTGCCATCTGCAGACTGACTGAGGGTGCACTCAATCACCTTGTCCAGACCATTGATAGAGATATTAAACAGGACTGACCTCAGTATGGAGACTTGGAGAAAACCACTAGTGAATGGCTGCCAACTGGATGTAACTCCATTCACTACCACTCTCTGGGCCTGAACATCCAGTCAATTTTTTACCAAGAGAACAGTGCACCTGTCCAAGATATGAGCAGCCAGTTTCTCCAGGAGAATGCTTTAGGAAATGGCTTTATTACAGTCCAGGCAGACAACATCCATAGCCATTCCCTCATTGACTAAGCAGGTCACCCTGCCATAGAAGGAGATCAGGTTGATCAAGAAGGACCTGTCTTTCCTAAACCTGTGCTGGCTGGGCCTGCTCCGCAGTTGTCCTTCATGTGCCCCTCATGGCACTTGAAGTTATCTGCTCCATGAACTTCCCCCACACCAAAGTCAGGCTGACAGGCCTGTAGTTCCCTGGATCCTCCTTCTTACCCTTCTTGTAGATGGGCATCACATTTGCTAAGGTCCAGTCAACTGGGACCCCCCTGGTGAGTCAGGATTGCTGGTAAATGATGGAAAGTGTCTCAGTGAGCACTTCCACCAGCTGCCTCAGGTGGTGATGACACAGACAATGAGGAACAGCAGACATATATCTTACTACTCCTCAATAATTTTGGAAGCATCACAGAAGCAATATATAGAGAAAGATAAAAGGTAAGAAAATAATTATACTTTTTTTACTCTGCTTTCTTCCTTAACTAGTTAGCAACTGACATTTATGTTACTTTCTCTAGAATGAATTTTCTGCAAGAAAATCAAAATTAAGTCTAAAAGAAGGTGGCTACAGTCTAAGTGTAAATCCTCCTTCTCAGGGCAGGAAGGAAATGGGATGATCTCCAGACATCTGTGTGAGTCACAGCATGCTAACGAGAGGCAGATGGACATACTTATTTGGCACAACTTTTTTATAATTCAGTGTAACTATTCTCTTAGCTTTTTCCTTAACTACATTGACATGAGGTACAAAGAGCAACAGGTCCCAGGATGTTTGACTTAGATTTGCCCTGATTTGTACAACTGTAAAAGACAAATATTTCAGGATTTCAGAGGTTAGGACCAAATAAGGCCAAAGACTTAAATAAACCCATCTTTAGGTCTCCATTTCCTTGAATCCCATTTACAAAACATTATACTGAAAATGGAACTAGAAAAGTTTGGACTCAGTGCTGTTAGTACTGAAAATCTGCTAAAACCCTGAAATTGTGGCTTTAAAATATATTTTTAGTATTGTGTTTCACTAGTCTCAACAGTATCAACCCACCAGAAAGCTATGCATGCATGAAAGAGCTGGAGGCACAGCAATTAGTTTTAGATATTATGATTTTCCAGGAGCTGAAAGGATCTGATCAGTTCAACTGCTGTGGAAAGCGGTTTCTATTGCCTAACCCTGCCTCAAGCATCAAGGTTTTGGCTTGCAAATGCTACCAGGAACCTAGGCTTACTTAATATCTTACTTAATACCTATTATCTAAGAGCAGCATTTTTTTATTCTGCTCAGTGTGCTACATGCTCATCCCAGACACACAAAATTAGCTTAACTCCAGTTTGAGAGAAGAAAGGCTGTATCATATAACCAAGAGTCCACTGGGCAACAGTTCCCTTTCCTTTGGTTGCAAGTCCACACCTGGACACAGAAGTTTTATATTTTCTTCTAAACCCATTATCTAAGATTAAAAACAAACAAACAACAACAACAAAAGCAAAAACCAAACCAAACAAATAAAAAACCCCAACAACCGTCCCCCCCCCCCAAAAAAAAAACACCAAAAAAACAACCAAAAACCACAACCAACCAAACAACAAAACTCAAATCCACATATGATTTGTCCATGCTATCAGGTGGAGATAAATTCATTTTGTTATCCAGATGATGTCTGGGAACAATGAAAATAGAAAGCTTCTGGACTGAAGCTGC